ACGAGAAGATTTATTTTCACTTTTCCTCCCAGACTCTGTAACTTTCTGGTTCATGTTAATTCACGAGGTCAGATTGTCACTAGGGTTGGAGGTGTGAGGTCTAGTCCTTGGTAGCCCTGACAAGATGACCTGGTCAGCTGTTGTCAAGAGGCTGAGTAAAGAGGCAATGGATCCTTGCAGAGAATGAGGATATATTCAGTGGTCACCTTGGGGAGAAGAACGAAGAGAGAAGGACAAATTCATTCTCTTAGGTCCTTCCTATTTTTTTCTGTTTTTTTTTTTTGTTCCTTTTTGTATTTGTTTTTGTTTTTAACTTTTTGAGACAGGGTTTCACTATGTTATCCTAGCTCGCCAAGAACTCTTTATGTAGACCAGGCTGACCTTGAACTCACAGAAATGTGCCTCCCTCTGCCTCCTGATTGCTGGGATTAAAGATGTGCACAACACCACCTGGCTCAAACTGCTTTTCTTAAATCCCCCTTTGTTTAGAGTTTATGTCTTTCAACTCCATTTTGTTGTTACTACTTATATTAATTCCCACTCACGGACACATTTTTTTAAACTATATTTGCATAGTTTTCATTTCTTGACATCTATACCCTTTTGCTACAAATGTAATTTTCTGTAGGTTGATATGCTTCTTTTTGACTTCGTACCAGGGCTTCCTCTGCAAATCATTTTGCAGCATGGGAATACAAAATTTAATCTTTCCTTCAAGTGGTTGTTTGTCTTTGCCCGTTCACCAATAAAGTTTACAGACAATAAACCATAAAAACCCGCTTGCGGATCCTGGCTGATGGCATCTCTCATGAGTCAGCGCACAGGGAGGTTGTGCACTATCTGGAACCATGAAACAAACAACAAGGCTTGCTCTGGTGGGACAGTCACCCTTTTCTTCTTGCAGAATATATATATATATATATATATAATTTTTTCCAAATATATTTATTCTTAGAATATTAAGGACTTTACAGAAAGGTGTCCACTAGCCACACAGTTTATTACTTTTATTCTGATATTGTGTTTTGGACATGTTTACATGTGAAAAAATAGGAATATTCCAAGTGTTGCATGAAGAGGAGAGTCATTTTTGTGTGATCAGTATTCTTCTGGAGGACAGCCATGACCTCTCAGCCTCTGCCCATCCCTGTCCTTCCTGCTGCCCACTTATTCTCTTCCCTTCCTCTTTTAGCCGTCACCTTCTGTCTTCCTCCTCCTTGTCCCCCACTTCCTCCTTACTTGTGTTCTTCTCTCTCCTTGTCCCTCTCCCTCCTCTCCTTGCCTCGCTATGCCTCTTCTCCCTTTTCAACTTCCTGTGCGTGCTGAAGTTGTTCTCCTAGGGAACCATGTGATACTCACATTTTACACTATTAGGACAACTTCTTCCTACTCTTGCCTCCTCCTCCTCAGCTTATGTCTGGTGTCTACTCAGTCTCCCATCTGCGTTCGTAATTCCTAGGAGTGATATTCTTCCTACCCCCATTCAGATTACTCTACATTTTGTCTGATTTCATTTGCATTATCAATCAAATCATAGGCATTAAGCAGTGGGGCCAAGGACACCAGGAGAACACAGCCCACTGAACTAGCTAAGCAGGGCTCACAGGGGCTCACAAAGACTGACGCTACAAGCACGGGGCCTGCATGGTCCTCTGCACATATTACAATTGTGTAGCTTGGTATTTGGGGCGGGGGAGGGGGAACTCCTAACAGTGGGAGTAGGTGTGTCCATGTCTCTTTTGCCAGGTCTTGGGACTCTTTTTCTCCTATTAGGTTGCCTTGACCAATCTTGACATGAGGGCTTTTGCCTTGTCTTGTTGTTTCTTGTTTTGTCATAACTGGTGGTTGTTTCTTGGAGGTCTGCTCCTTTCTTAAGGGAAAGGGAGGGGGAGTTAACTTGGGAGAGAGAGGAGCTAGGGAGTGTCTGGGAGGAGTAGAGGAAAGGGAAACTCTGGTCAGGATGTATTGTATGAATGAAGAATCTGTTTTCAATTAAAAAATTAAATAAAAGATTTAGGGGAAAAAAGGAGTCTTCCTGAAGCTCAGAGGGTCAGTCTGGTGAGAACCCCCATCCTCACTCTGATCACAGTTGTAGATCCTGGGCTAGTGTCTTAAAACTAGGGCTTAGCCTTATCATGGCGGAGGATTGCAGTATCATCATGAAGAATAAAACCAGATAAGGAAACAAGCAAGCGATAGCAGCAGGTTTGCAACTGCAGCATTAAGCAGAAGTTTAAAAATGAAGACCAGGAGAGGAAAATCCGCTAGTGTGGTTAGCTTTTTCAGTGCTCTCTGCTCAGCGATTTATTCTGGGTGAATTATGAAAGAACTGCAACTGTTTGCCTCCTGGGTGACTTTGGTTTGTTCCAAAGCAATTAAAAATATATAGCTCCTGACTTTCTCAATGGTATAATTTGAGACCTGAGCACACAGACCTCAAAGAATGTGCAATAATAAACAAAGCCAGTGAGGTCTGTGCTTGCAGGTAAGAGGACCACGCCTGATAGATCAATGTCATCTTCTTTTGATGATGTCATCATTCTTCTGTTGAATCGAAGGTGTTTGCAGATTCACCTTGCATGTAAGTTTTTGAAACTTGATCTTGCAGATCTTTCCCTAAACCGAGTAAATAAGGAAATGATAAGCTTGTGAGTAGCTAGGTAAGCCGAGTGGGAAAGCGAAGACGTTTCTGTAATTCAAATCTGTCTTATTGAGTGTAACTGGGCGTTATACCACACCCAGGTCACTTTCCCTGTGGCTTTCTCCATGGCTCCCTTTGTTTTACGATTGATCAGCAGTCAGGGCTTCCTGACTCAGGGGCACGTTCACCACAGCTCATTATTATTCATTACGGCATGCACTTAAAATACAGGCGTGAAATAAAGAGACCTAGTCTAAAGAGAAGATGGTATTCTCCTTGTGCAGACGGCACAGAGATGTTAAAGTGGAGATTAGAGGCTTATTTTATTGTTGCTTCTAGTGTTGAGAAGAGTGTTGCGGCCGAGGAACAGTTCAGGAAGAATTCTCAATAGGAAGTGTTTTCAGGTTTCACCACAGAAGAGACTCCCCTACGTCATTAGCTAGCAGGCAGTGAACCACTGTTGCCAAGAGTTTGGTTTTTACCTCTGGGTAAATTCACTAACTTTTCTGTTTTAATTTCTTTCGCTCTACAGTAATGATAACATATATATTTTTTTACCTCAGAACTTTTTGAGGTAAATTACGTATCTAAGGTTCTTAAAGCAGGGCCTGAGACCTACTCAAATCATTTGACTTTGTGGTCTCAACTTCATAACAGCCACAGCAAGGATGAAGCGGTTCTCAATCTGTGGGTCATGACCCCCTTTGGGGGACATTAGATGACCTTTTCACAGGGGTCAGCTAAGACCATTGGAAGACACACATGTTTACATTACAATTCACAACAGTGGCAAGATTAGAGTCATGAACTAGCAACAAAATAATTTTATGGTCGGGAACATGAGGCGCTGTATTAAAGGATTGCAGCATTAGGAGGGTCAAGAAACACCTTTGTAGAGTAAAAAACTTTATTTGCTCTGGATGACTTCTATGTGTTTAAACAAAAAATATTCCTCCAAAGATTCAAATTTCCTCTATGTAGACAGTCAAAGGATGTATTGTAAGATCTATATTCAGTTGTGAGAGTAGGATGCCACAGTGTTTTGACCAAAGAAGCAACAGTAAAATAAATGTTAATGCTCTCAGACAGACATTCTGCAAGAAGCCACTCGCTGTGAGATATATATTGCACAGCTTAAAATAACTTGGCCATAAAATTTCTTCTTTGTTTCTTCAATGCAGATACTTTCTCATTACGGTCTGCATAATATTTGAGAAATTGCAGATGCTCAACAGATACTCGGACTGGACACTTAGATAGAGGCGGGGAGAAGAACTAGGAACAAAATGTTCTCTAGTTAGGTGCAAACTGCTTTCTACTTACGGTCAAGTTTACATTGCACTATCTTCTTCTGCAAAGTGCTTTAGCAGGAATTTATCATCGGGGTCTTTAAAAATTGTAGATTTTATGGAACTCGAAACTCTCACAATGGGCTGGAGAGATGGCTCAGTGGTTAAGAGCACTGACTGCTCTTCCAGAGGTTCTGAGTTCAATTCCCAGCAACCACATGGTGGCTCACAACCATCTGTAATGGGATCCAATGCCCTCTTCTGGTGTGTCTGAAGACAGCTACAGTGTACTCAATAAATAAAAAATAAATAAATCTTTTTTTTTAAAAGAAACTCTCACAAAAATTCTCACTTGAAAATCCCATCATAGAATTTTTCTCTTTTTATTGTTATTTTAAAATGAAGTAAGCACGAATTAGTGTTAAGGCAAGACTGTGCCCATCACACTTCATAGAATATCTAAGGTTCACAGGGATCTAGAGCACCCAGAACAGTAACCAGAATGCAGTGATCTTGGCAATTTGTTGAGGAATGAGAAGACCATTTTAGAATGGTCTTTAGAAACTGACAGAATAATCTACTAATGGTCACACAGTGACATGGGAAGTGGAATGAACATTTCCTGATGTCACTGTGTTTTAATAATTGATGTCATATTTAAATTGTAATATGAAGATGACTTTCAATTTAGTCTCTGAATAACTTTTAGATGTGCAAATACATCAAATTCTGAGGTTAATATCTGTTACATCTTAGGAAGGCACTTGTAAGAATTTGTTCACGCAAGTCAACGGATTGATTTAAAAGGCCACCAATTTAAAATGTCTGCTAAGTGGCTCGCTCAAGGTGTGTCAAGTGATTTATTTCATCTGTCTCTGCTGTAAGCTTTTTTCTTTTTTTACCTCTGTGATGTATTGTTAGAGTTCCTTATAGACTACCAGTGACTTTTAGTTGGAACAATTTGTCTCCCCTGGGAATTAACCCATGTCTTAGTTCTTTGGAGTTTTTGAATGTTCAAGCAATACTGGATATCATGTTGTTTGAGCTTTTTTTCCCTATTGTTTTTACAGGATGGAAAAGCAGAGTCAAGTTCATGTACCTGTTTGAAGGGGCCTAAACTGTCAGAAATAGGAACAATTGCCTGGATGATCACGCTCTGTGATGCTCTCCACAATTTCATCGATGGCTTGGCGATTGGGGCATCTTGTACTTTGTCTCTTCTTCAGGGACTCAGTACGTCCATAGCCATCCTGTGTGAGGAGTTTCCTCATGAATTAGGTGAGCGCCTCAGATCACAGGGCAAGGAGTGATTGAATATTAGACTTGGCAAATCCTCATCATATACTGAGATGAATGACTTGTGTTTGGAAGTAGTTCTCCTCCTCCTCCTCCTTTTCCTCCTCCTCCTCCTTTTCCTCTTCTTCCTCTTCCTCCTCCTTCTTCTCCTCCTCCTCCTTCCTCTCCTCCTCCCCTCCTCTTCTTCCTCTTCCTCCTCCTCCTCTTCTTCCTCCTTCATGTCTTCCTCTTCCTCCTCTTCCTATTCCTTCTCCCCTTCTTCTTCTTCTTCTTCTTCTTCTTCTTCTTCTTCTTCTTCTTCTTCTTCTTCTTCTTCTTCTTCTT